GCATGATCCCAGGACATTTCCCCAAACTCCAGGGCCTCTCCTCACACCCTCATAACCAACAATAATGAATCTCTCCATTGTACATTTCCCAGGACATTTAAGCCAACTCCAGGGCCTCTCCTCACACGCCCAGAACTAACAATAATGAATCTCTCCATTGTACATTTCCCAGGACATTTCAGCAAACTCCATGCCTCTCCTCACACGCCCAGACCCAACAATACTTAAAGGAGCACTATAAGGTCAGGAACACAAACATGTATTCCTGACCCTATAGTGTTTAACCCACCATTTAGGTGGTTTGCTCCCCTTTTAAAAGTATAAAACTAACCTTATTTCCAGCGCTGCGCAGGTTTGCCGGCACTGGCTCCGCCCCCCCCTTTGTGACATTGAAATGGAGGATTTTTAGCCAATCCTATGTTTTTCCGATTGGCTAAAAATCATCACGGTGTGGGGCCAAATGCTATTTTGGCCAATCAGGACCTCCTCATAGAGATGCATTGAATCAATGCATCTCTTTGAGGAAAATCCAGCATCCCCATGCAGAGCGTGGGGACGCTGAACGTCAGGGCTGCTTACTGTGCAGCACTGAGCCAGGAAGCCCCTCCAGTGACCATTTAACGAGTGGCCACTGGGAGGTGTCCCTAGAGGCACTGTAAACACTGCCTTTTCTCTAAAAATTACATTAAGCTGTAGTTGTTCTGGTGACTATAGTGTCCCTTTAATCTCTCCATTTTGTTGCTCAGCACTACCCACAGCTCCTCCTATATATATAGCATGCTCCTCCAGCTTGAGAGTCTCCAATTATCTCCTCATTCCCTTCATATTAAACCAACAGCTGGAAATTTCTCTTAGCCATTGTGACAAAGTGCCCTTCGCCACTTGGTCCTGGAGAGGTCTGCTTGCCAGCCTCCTCCCCTGTGACTATGACTCTTTGATGTATTTGGCTTTAAAGCCCCTATCCTACCTTCAGACAGACTATTTATGTAGGCTGCTTTATTTATCTTATGTTTTAGTCACCCTGTACCCATTATAGGTGCAGGGTGTGTGTAATGTAATTGTTTATAGTGTGTGTGTACTGTGAAATGTATTGCCTGCTCTCCTGTACTGCTGAGGTTTGCTACCAACTAGGTGGATTTGGCTGTGGAGCTTGTCTAGTGCCCTCTGTTGGTAGCAATAGCAATATGCACTACCTGAATAGCAAGACTGGTTCATTTGCATATTCGGGTAGATTTGCATATTACTAATTCTGCAGGCACGTGAGATATTTTCTATTAAATATGGTCTCCCCCACCCCTTTAAAAATATGCCATTGTATTATAATGTCACTGTGTGTTGCCTGCTATGGTTTGACTGTTTGTGATTTTATTGAGTTTTCACAGCAATGTTATTGTGGTGACCCTATGTGCTGGTCCCAAGGGAAATAAAGGTTTAGACAGTTCTTCTTGATCCCTCTAAATATAGCCTTGTCTCGTTATTGGAGGGAGCTGTTATAATCACACTGGGGATTGCTATGTTCTGCATGCTCCCCTGAGCTTGAATCACTTACCTCTTTTAAGAGCTTGTTCCTGACGGTCTCTCCTTGGAGGAGAGGTCTTCCCCACACAGTCCTGGATGTTCATACAGGGTGGAAGGGAGAGGTCATTCCCACACGGTCCTGGAGGACAGAATCTGATCCAGGGTGGAAGGAAGACAGTGAGAATCCAAACTACAGCTGTTGCGCAGTCTGCGGTGGTTGTGGTGTCCGGTGCGGTGCTTGTGGTCCTCGGCGCAAGCTAGGAAGCGTCCATCAACGGAGGGTACTCGGTCAGAGTACGGGGAGCTCCGTTACAGCCATCACTTCCAAATTTCCCCTGCAACCTCTTGTCTCAAATCCCTATTATATCCTTCAGATTGTAAGCTCACAGGCTATCTAGCTAAGCACTTTGTATAAAAGAGCTTCAATGGCTAGTTATCAGCTTACGGGCAGGGCCCTCTCTACCTTTTGTATTTGTGTATATTGTACGTTCTCCACCAATTGTGAATTGCTATGAAATATGATGGTGCTTTATAAATCGAAGTAAGAAATAATACTGTGTACAGTTTTTATTATTACTGCTGGTACTAAAATATTGTATCCAATTTTGTTTCATGTGTTCTACATAACAGGGAGAAGCAAGGATTGACTCGGATGAAAATGAATCTAATATTGTCCCCTTAAATTCTAAATAAACAGAGGGGGCATCTACTTATGTTTTCTACGCTAAATCCTTACTACAAAATAATAATGCAGAGATGAATTTCTTAATGAAATGTTGTTATTGGAGGGGGGAGATGTAATCACTGCCTTTGAAAGGTACAAATACAATAGGACAACACATCTAGTTAAACATAAGCATAGACAATGGCAAATGTGGAGATTCCGGATTCATCAAAGAACTCAGAGAGGAACTGAAGTACACACGGCACTCCGAACTCCCGCTGTTACAAGGACAAGGCATACGTTGTGGGCAGACCTTTTCATGTAGCTTACAACTGTTGGATTTTGGGATTTACTCTTTCTTTAGAATTTATACCCCATAAGGGAATTTAAGGTGGACAGTGTGACATATTGAGGTGTATACGTACCCCTTTTATGGTTTTCATTTATGTGGTGACAAAGCTGACATTTTTGTTGACGTCTGCAAACATCTTATTTTCTACAATATTTTATTCAGTTGTGATTATATTATATATTGCTAGCGGAGTTCACCATATTTATATTAAAATGATAGTAATCTTACTCTATACATAGCCGAGTTTATTGATACAGTATATAGTTACATGACTAGTACTTGGTACGCAACTTATGTATTATACAATATGCTTCAATAAAGCCTGTGCAGTAAGTAGTGTATGGACACGGGCTATTATAACTAGTTATAGATTTAAAAAGGATTATTTCACTTCATTAAAATAATATAAAGATAATAACCGGACAGTTTCCACCAATAACTGAGTTTGCCAATCAGTAGTATAAGCAATCAAAAGACCCGGAGCTTAATTTGCAAGAAAACTCTTTTTTTTAAATTATAAACAATATTTTATTTTTACAGATTTATAGATTTAAAAAAAAAAAAACGACATCTTTTATTATCACAAAACTCAAGCATACATTAATACAAAAAGTAATCTGTATCAACATAAGAGAAAATAATCTAATTGTGAAGGTCCACCTTACAGCAAAAAAATGCGCTTCCAATCATTCTGCCCACATGCAGAGAGGTGGGGGGGAGGTTCATTTGGCTGCTAAATTTATTTTGGTCTAGATTACAGGTTAATATAACTATGGGAGTTTGTTACTTAGTAGGGGGTTTCCTTATAGCAAATGGAACACGTTTAGGTTTATTAGGGAGCATATAGGCAAGTCTTGCATGTATTGTGTTTGCATTCTAGAAAAGAGCATTCGATGGCTAAACTAACTATATGAAGTCTGCCTTAATATTATACTTCAGTACATCTACAGTAACCTGATTCGAAGTCCACGTTGGTGCTTGTTCATAATACGATATGTGGCACTGGTGTATTCATTCCAATAATGGACAATATTCTTGGTTCTTGACACTCCTGTGCGGTCTGCTTCAGTAATTGTATCATTCAAGGCTGGCTGTATGTCTATGTCAGCACTTGCAGTTAACATTGTATGTGGCTTTGATCTACTGGCACATGTGTCAATAAACATTGTCTGGGAGGCCATACAGTTTCCTGAAGAGATGGGTTTTAAGGCACTTTTTAAACGATTGAAAAATAGGGGTGAGTGTGATGGTGGTAGGCAGGCTATATCAAAGGAAGGGAGCTGTCCTGCAAGCGTGAGTTGGCCGTACAGCAGCAGACAGGAGAAGGTGACGGGCAGAGCGGAGAGACCGAGAAGGGCCATTCAGCCCATCTAGTCTGCCCAATTTTCTAAATACTTTCATTAGTCCCTGGCCTTATCTTATAGTTAGGATAGCCTTATGCCTATCCCACGCATGCTTAAACTCCTTTACTGTGTTAACCTCTACCACATCAGCTGGAAGGCTATTCCATGCATCCACTACCCTCTCAGTAAAGAAATACTTCCTGATATTGTTAAACCTTTGCCTGAGAAGATCCTGCTTTCCAATAAAACGTTTCTCACATGCAGTGCATTTAAATGTTTTTTTCTCGTTTGTGAACAATTTGATGCCTATTAAGATTATATCGCAAATTGAAACATTTCCCACATGCAGTGCATTTAAGTGGTTTTTCTCCTTTGTGAATACGCTGATGAATGGCAAGATCGCTCTTTGCATGAAAACATTTTTCACATTCAGTGCATATGAATGTTTTTTTTCTTGTGTGAATCCGATGATGTCTGATAAGATCCTGCTTTAGGTTAAAGCATTTCCCACATTCTGTGCATTTAAAGGGTTTTTCTCCTGTGTGAATAATTTTATGCCTATTTAGATTAGATTGTAAATTAAAGCATTTCCCACACTCTGTACATTGAAAAGACTTTTCTTCTTTGCGTATTCTCTGATGCCCAATAAGATCCTGCTTTCGAATTACACGTTTACCAGATTCAGTTTTTTCTCCTTTGTGGATCCACTGATGAATGATTAGATCCTTTTTTAGATTAAAACATTTTTCACATTCAGTACATTTTAACATTTCTTTTCCTGTGTGAATCCGTTGATGTCTGATAAGATCCTGCTTTAGGTTAAAACATTTCCCACATTCTGTGCATTTAAACGGTTTTTCTCCTGTGTGAATAATTTTATGTTTATTAAGATTCGATTTTTGGGTAAATCCTTTCCCACATTCAGTGCATTTAAAAGGTTTTTCCCCTGTGTGAATCCTTTTATGTAACACCAATCTTGATGGATGTAAAAAACATTTCCCACATTCAAGGCATTCATATTGATTTTTCCTAGTTTGAGTCACCTGAGTAAAATTCTCCCTATATTCAGATGAATCAGATATAACAGTATACTTCTCAGCAACGGTGAGATTTCCTTTTCCACCGGTAGAGCATTCATCAGTCCTACTTGGTGGATGTACTCTGTGTGTTTGTTCTGAGAGAGAATCTGTGACAAAACCATACTCATGTAAAGAAGAATCTTCCTTAATATGTACTGAAGTATATGTCTCAGTATGTTTGGTGGGTGTAGAAATGTCTTTGAGGTTGCCTTCTACATATGAGGCTGGTTCCTCCTTAATATGAATAGATGAATGTTCCGAGAGTGTAGAAATGTCTGTAAGATTCCCTTCTTCACATGGGGCTGGTTCCTCCTTAATATGAGTGGATGGATATTCTGTCTGTGGATGTTCTGTGAGTGTACAAATGTCTGTGAGATTGCCTTCTTCACATGAGGCTGGTTCCTCCTTAATATGAATGGATGGATATTCTGTGGGTGTAGAAATGTCTGTGAGATTGCCTTCTTCACATGGCAAAGATTCTTGTGACATGAATGTTACCGATTTAATCTCGCTTTGCTTTGCTTGGTTGATTACAATAGATGTTTTACCATCATTGGTTTTAGTTACAGTTTTACTTGTAGCAAGTGGTGTATACCTAATGGATTGTACACATTTATCTGTTGGAAGACAATGAACAATAGGAGCTGGTAAATCATTTCAAATAAAGTAAGATAGTTACCGTGTATATGTGTTATAATATTATACTGAGTAAACAGCGATTAAAGCTTTTCTTACCCAGTGACTGGTGGTTCTCAATTATTATGTCCTTGTAGAGATCCTTGTGTCCTTCTATATACTCCCACTCTTCCATGGAGAAATAGACCGTGACATCCTCACACCGTATAGGAACCTGATACACAATGATACAATCACTATCCAAACACATCCCTTGGTTTTACTGTATATTGTCCCATTCCCAGAAGCCTCACCTCTCTAGTCAGCAGCTCAATGATCTGATTGGTCAGTTCCAGGATCTTCTGATTATTGTTTCTCTCATGGATCAGGGAAGGAGGTGGAAGAAGGATGCTGGGGATAAATGTCCTGTGTGATTCTTCCGATCCATGTGGATTGCTTCTGGGCGAGTCATGATTACTGGTCTTCTTTACAACCGTGAGATCCTTAATATTGAGAAACAGAAATGTGAAGAAGAATATTTCCTTAATGCGATGCAAGTATTTCCAGCACACACTTCCCATCATCCTTTGCTGCTCTACATTCTGTACTCTCCTGTTATAAAATGAAAAGGCGGATACCCTGTTTTGTAAACTGATCATGCTTCTATTTTTGCTAACAAAGAATGATATATATAATATTGTGACTCTACTGAATGACCATTAAATCTTTACCTAGAATAAAAAAAATATACCTTCCAAAGAGGCAGAACATACCCTGGAAAGCTACTAATTTCCTTTCTCTCCCTTCTCCTAGAATTCCTAGTTAACCTCCTAGAAAAAGGGTTTTCCACACCAACGTTGTCGGTAGATCTGGGTATCCGATCAAGTGTCTGCTTTTCCTTCAATGTCAGATGTCCCTGACCCAATATTTCTATTCTTGGCAACCTCTTTAAGGATCACATAGGAGTCAATGTGTTCCTCTAATTTCATGAACATTTTGTCAGTTTTCTTAGAGCTGATTAAAAGAGTTAATGTCTCTTTAAAGTGTTACTCCAAGCACCAAGACCACTTCAGTGATTTGAAGTGGCTTCTGCAGAGTAGTCACAAGTCAAAGGAGCACAGTCGTGGCAAAAAACAACGTAAGAGAGCAAGCCTGTTATTCCCTATAGGGAGCTGTTTAGTATATATAGCTTCCCTAGCTTGGTACTCTTATTGCCCTATTTAAAGATACCAAATTAGGGCGCTACACTACACACATAGGTAAACAACAGTGCATGTGACTGTCCACATAAGGACACAAAGAAGGAGAACTATTTACTAAACAGTGCCCTGATTTGGTATCCTAAATAGAGCAATCCCACATAAGGACACAAAGAAGGAGAGCTATTTACTAAACAGCGCCCTGATTTGGTATCCTAAATACAGCAATCCCACATAAGAGTGCCAAAATAGAGCACTATCTAATAAATGGCTAATAAAATCAAAATTAAGGAAAACAAAAAGCCCTTTTCTTATTTTGCTGTTTCAGATGCCTAATAGACAAACCTCTTGAATGAAAGTGAATGGACATAAAATTATGTGGATCAATTTGTTCTGAAATCTCCATTATTTTCAGAATTTGGAGGATTCTAAATACCAACAAAATTTGATTAGCCCAATTTTGAATGTAATTGAATTATCTAAATTTTCCCCATTACCTGGAAACAGGAACAGGATACTCCTGGCATTATGATGCATGGAGTAAGCCTTTAATAACAAAATCTTGGGAAAGAGAGAAGCAGAATTATTTTTAGGTGAAGTTTACCTTCATCCAGAATCCCTCACCTCTCCAGTGAGCAGGTAGATGATCTCCAAGGTTAGATGCAAGATCTTTTCAGTCACCCATTTCCTGTCATTCATGGTTTACCACGACGCTCTGGGCCTCTTGAAATCAAAGCAACCACAGATTGTAATTAGAGACAGTGGTTTTATATCCCACTACAGCAGAAGAGGTTTCTGCTCTGCTTTAGCCCTCCCATCCCATCACCTATTCCCTCATATCTCATTCGCACTTTGTCTCCTCTTTCTCTGCCTCTCACTAAAATTTCCAATCTCTCCCTCTCCTCTGGCATATTTCCTCTACCTTTCAAACATGCAACCTTAACCTTGATTCTGAAAAAGCCCAATCTTAATCCTAATTCCACATCCAACCACTGCCCTATCTTGCTACAGCCTTTTGCCTCCAAGATCCTATAGAGAGTTGTGTACGCCGCAAAGGAATGTTCTTTCCACCAAGTATGAAGTCTGCTACCGAATAATCCTAAGCGCTAACTGTAATCTTGAAGAAGTATCCCCCCAAACACAAGACAAGGCTCTGTGTTGAGGGTCAAGCATTAACTGATTTAATGAGTGCCACAGGCTGGCTTTTATATAAGTCTCCATGCAAGGGGTTTCCTGACAACATTTTCCAGGGGCATTCTCCACTGGACTTGAATGGGTACCACGGTAGAAGCAAAGACATAATTGCATTACCCTTCAGGTCCAGGAATTACAATCTTAAAACACCTCAAAATAAATTTTAACAGTGGGGTACCCCCTCGAGTCATATATCCCCAGGTAGCCGAGATCTGAGCGCCCAACATATGTCGAATGCACTCTGATCCCACGAAAGGAGCCGAAACACCACCGGGTCTAAGATTGACCGACCGCACACGAGGCGTCTGCCCAAAACAGTTCCATGAAATCAGGCTGTGTGGTCGCTCTCTTTCGGGGATACCCAAATATCCGAAATACACATGTTAGCTGGTCGAGGATCCGTTCATACAAGGTCATTAGTTTGTGTCTTTCAAACTACCGAACGCTGCTTCGTTCGTGTGATTAGAAGTCAAACCTGTTCGTTGTATGGAAATCCCAGCGGTGTTCATGTGTTTCTATGCCCGATAATAGTTCCAGACGCACAACAAAACACCGCAGGCTAAGTTCAACTTCGAGGATGGCCGCCACCACGTGTTCATACATACAAACAACGACCACCCAGCCGACCGTTCGGGAGATGGAAGTGTCTGCTGTTAACCACAGTGTGAAAAGCGTTTAAAAAGGTTAACAAGCAGCACACTTCCCTGCTGGGTGGTCGATCTTTCGGTAGATTGTTCAGTTGAACTAAATAAACCAGGGAGACAGACGAATAAAGGGGAAAAGGTCGAATAAACAGACAAACACATCTCTAGTAATAATCCACCGACTGGGAGGTCTGTCACAACAGAGTACACGCTGCATTCTATAGCTAAACACAGTGTACACGCTGCATTCTATAGCTAAACACTGTGTACACACCGCATTCTATAGCTAAACACTGTGTACACGCCGCATTCTATAGCTAAACACTGTGTACACGCCGCATTCTATAGCTAAACACTGTGTACACGCCGCATTCTATAGCTAAACACTGTGTACACGCTGCATTCTATAGCTAAACACTGTGTACACGCTGCATTCTATAGCTAAACACTGTGTACACGCTGCATTCTATAGCTAAACACAGTACACGCTGCATTCTATAGCTAAACAGAGTACAAACTGCATTGTATAGCTAAACACGGTGTACACATTGCATTCTATAACTAAACTCAGAGTGCACACAGCTAAACATAGAGTACACACTGCATTCTATAGCTAAACAGAGTACACATTGCATTATATAGCTAAACACAGAGTACACGCTGCATTCTATAGCTAAACACAGAATACACGCTGCATTCTATAGCTAAACACAGAATACACGCTGCATTCTATAGCTAAACACAGAATACACGCTGCATTCTATAGCTAAACACAGAATACACGCTGCATTCTATAGCTAAACACAGAATACACGCTGCATTCTATAGCTAAACAGAATACACACTGCATTCTATAGCTAAACAGAATACACACTGCATTCTATAGCTAAACACAGTGTATACATTGCATTCTATAACTAAACACAGTGTACACATTGCATTCTATAACTAAACTCAGAGTGCACACAGCTAAACACAGAGTAAAAACTGCATTCTATAGCTAAACACAGATGTCCACACTGCATTCTACTTCTAATCACAGTGCACACATCCCATGCAGTACACAAGCTGTGAGCTGTGTATACACTGTATTTATTAGTATAAATGACACACATACAGGGACACTGTCCCTGGCAGAGTGTATAACCGAGCTCCACTGGCCACATCACTCACCAGAGCTCTACTTCTCCTTGTGGAGCTCTGGGAACAGGAAATCTTGGACAGGCCTGGTATCTTAAAAGCAGCAGAACTCCAGCAGGGTGCATGCCATGTTCCTGGGGCCGCACTGTCTGCCTCCTGGAACCGGCTCCTGTCACTCTCCGGCTGCGGAAGAATACCAGCAGAACTGCGTCATCACTGGGTTCAATCAATCAGGCTACAGCGTCCTTCCGCGCATACGCTTCTCTCCCCTCCCTCCGTGCCACATACTGAGCTCATGGCTTCCACTGTTACCATGGTAACTAGCAGGCTGATCACATGCTAGTAGATTGTGGGATGTCTGCAAACGTGGGGGAAAGGGAGGTGTAATTTTCAGCAGATTTGACCCATTTTTGGCCAAAAATTTCAGCAGACGAAATTTCGGTGCATCGCTAATGATAATATTATATACATCTATATGACATACTATAAGAATATAATATACAGCTATATGACTATAATGAACGCTGGTATGAAAGATAAACATTCGCCTATTTTCGTGTGTTGATTCGAACGCTTCTCCAGAGTATTCTACAGCCTCCGAGTAGTTTCTCCCAACAAAATAGGCAGGTACCCAAACATCAGGGTTTCAGCTGACATATTCCAGGGGCATTCCCCACTGGACTTGAGAGGGGACAGTGACAAAATACATTTTGTAAGTCCACTGGCTCTCAGATTCAGGACACTCCAACATGCAGTAATATAATCTTCCACTGTACTGGGGAGATAATTGAGTAAAGCAATTTACTAACTCAATTATCTCATACATTTGGGAACCTCATAAAAAACATATGCTCTGATAGCTCAGATCAGGGGGATCAACATATTTAAAAATCACCCAGATCGGTACAAGGGGTTCAAAAAAGTTACATGGAGGTCTTAATTTGACCGACCTAACACGATGCAGGAGCACAGAAGTAGTTCCATGAAATTGGGCTGTGCGGTCGGTCCATTTCGACAAGTATAAAAATAGAAATAATCCCCTGACTCATAGATGGCGTTTGTTCCCCTAGTTCGTGGGAACAAATCTACCGAATAGCGTTCTCCTGGCTGGTCTGTGAACGGAAACAGGCGTTCGTGAAGTCTGACTGGGTTTCGGGAAGTTGAGTGTCCGACTTTGATTCCAGACACTTGACAACCAAGTAAAGCTACCTCCTTTGGTGAAAACAAGATGGCCACCATTTTCTCTTGCACGTGGCGTCGACTATACGAACAACAGCCACAGTGAGATCACAAATGGGTTTGCTTTGAAGTAAATGAGTGAGGGGGAGGTCAGTTTTCGGTAGTTTTATGTAGCGAACAGGAAAAAACAAAAGTACCAAATTAACATGGGAATACTATAATATACAATTATACTATAATAATATAAATAGTATAATACTATAATAATATAATATAGAGCTATATGACATACTATAAAAATATAATATAGAGCTATAGGACATACTATAATAATATAATATAATATAGAGCTATATGACATACTATAAAAATATAATATAGAGCTATATGACATACTATAATATAATATAGAGCTATATGACATACTATAAAAATATAATATAGAGCTATAGGACATACTATAATAATATAATATAAGATAGAGCTATATAACATACTATAATATAATATAGTGCTATACGACATACTATAATAATATAATATAGAGCTATATGACATACTATAATATAGAGCTATATGACATACTATAATATAGAGCTATATGAGATATATAGAGCTATATCACATACTATAGTAATATAATATAGAGCTAAATGACATACTATAATATAATTTAGAGCTATATGACATACTATAACAGTGAGGGCGAACCTATGGCACGCATGCCGCAGGTGGCATGCCGGGCCCTCTCTGTGGGCACGCGGCCATAGCTCGCCATCAATGCAGAGTAGGCACCTGCCTGCCCAAAACGGCAGGCGCCTACTCTGCTCCCGCGAGCAGGCTGTGTGGAGCGTTGTTGCGCGTTACCATGGCAACGCTCCACACAGCATTGCACAGACGGGAGGACGGGAGAGCTGCAGGGCCTGTCCCTCTTACCACCACCGGACCACCAGGGATTTGTGTGTCCCCCCTCCTTCACATAAGGTAAGCAGAAGGGGGGGGGGAATACAGATTTTAATAAAAATATTTGCAGCACTCCCCCCCACCACCAACACACACAGCAGCCCCCCCAACAGCACCCCTCTCATACAGAGCACCCAGCACCTCCTCCCCCTCACCCAGCACCCCTCTCGCACACAGCACCCCCCCACACACACAGAACACCCAGCACTAGGGGAGAGAAGAGGAGATGCTGCGGGGAGAGAAGAGGAAAAGCTGGGGGAGAGGAGGAGGAGGAGATGCTGGGGAGAAGGGGAGGAACAGATGCTGGGGGGAGAAAGGGAGAGGAAGAGGAGAATCGGGAGGAGATTCTGGGGGGAGAAGGGGAGAGGAGGAGATGCTGGAGGGAGAAGGGGAGAGGAGGAGGAGAATCTGGGGAGGGGAGAGGAGAAGGAGGTGCTGGGGGGAGAAGGGGAGAGGAGATGCTGGGGAGAGAGGGGAATATGCTGTGAGTAGAGAAGGGAGATCTTGGGGGGGAAAGAATAGGAGAATTAGTTCGGACAACGGTACAAGTTGTTTTTTTCTAAAGTTAAACCTCAGTATTCAGGTTTAATTGCCGTGCTGGCACTTTGAGGGAAAAAAAGTTGGCATGTACTGCGGTTTGGGCACTCATGCTCAAAAAGGTTCGCCATCACTGTACTATAATATAATATAGAGCTAAATGACATACTATAATAATATAATATAGAGCTACATGACATACTATAATAATATAATGTAGAGCTATATGACATACTATAATAATATAATATAATATGGAGCTATATGACATACTATAATAATATAATGCTATATGACATACTATAATAATATAATATAGAGCTATATGGCATGCTATAATAATATAATATGGAGCTATATGGCATGCTATAATAATATAATATGGAGCTATATGACATGCTATAATAATATAATATAATATGGAGCTATATGACATGCTATAATAATATAATATAATATGGAGCTATATGACATGCTATAATAATATAATATAGAGCTATATGACATACTATAATATAAAATAATAAGGAGCTATATGACATACTATAATATAATATGGAGCTATATGACATACTATAATATAGAGCTATATGACATACTATAATATAGAGCTATATGACATACTATAATAATATAATAATATAATATGGAGCTATAGGACATACTATAATAATATATGGAGCTATATGACATGCTATAATAATATAATATGGAGCTATATGACATGCTATAATAATATAGTATAATATGGAGCTATATGACATGCTATAATAATATAATATAATATAGAGCTATATGACATGCTATAATAATATAATATGGAGCTATATGACATGCTATAATAATATAATATAGAGCTATATGACATGCTATAATAATATAATATGGAGCTATATGACATGCTATAATAATATAATATGGAGCTATATGGCATGCTATAATAATATAATATGGAGCTATATGACATGCTATAATAATATAATAATATAATATGGAGCTATATGACATGCTATAATAATATAATATGGAGCTATATGACATGCTATAATAATATAATATAATATAGAGCTATATGACATGCAATAATAATTTAATATGGAGCTATATGACATGCTATAATAATATAATATGGAGCTATATGACATGCTATAAAAATATAATATAATATGGAGCTATATGACATGCTATAATAATATAATATGGAGCTATATGACATGCTATAATAATATAATATGAAGCTATATGACATGCTATAATAATATAATAATATAATATGGAGCTATATGACATGCTATAATAATATAATATAATATGGAGCTATATGACATGCTATAATAATATAATATGGAGCTATATGGCATGCTATAATAATATAATATGGAGCTATATGACATGCTATAATAATATAATAATATAATATGGAGCTATATGACATACTATAATAATATAATATGGAGCTATATGGCATGCTATAATAATATAATATAGAGCTATATGACATACTATAATAATATAATAATATAATATGGAGCTATATGACATACTATAATAATATAATATGGAGCTATATGGCATGCTATAATAATATAATATGGAGCTATATGGCATGCTATAATAATATAATATGGAGCTATATGGCATGCTATAATAATATAATATGGAGCTATATGGCATGCTATAATAATATAATATGGAGCTATATGGCATGCTATAATAATATAATAATATAATATGGAGCTATATGGCATGCTATAATAATTTAATAATATAATATGGAGATATATGACATGCTATAATAATATAATATGGAGCTATATGACATGCTATAATAATATAATATAATATAATATAGAGCTATATGACATGCTATAATAATATAATATGGAGCTATATGACATACTATAATAATATAATATGGAGCTATATGACATGCTATAATAATATAATATGGAGCTATATGACATGCTATAATAATATAATATAGAGCTATATGACATGCTATAATAATATAATATAGAGCTATATGACATGCTATAATAATATAATATGGAGCTATATGACATGCTATAATAATATAATATGGAGCTATATGACATGCTATAATAATATAATATGGAGCTATATGACATGCTATAATAATATAATAATATAATATGGAGCTATATGACATGCTATAATAATATAATAATGAGCTATATGGCATGCTATAATAATATAATAATGAGCTATATGGCATGCTATAATAATATAATAATGAGCTATATGGCATGCTATAATAATATAATATGGAGCTATATGACATGCTATAATAATATAATATGGAGCTATATGACATGCTATAATAATATAATATAATATGGAGCTATATGACATGCTATAATAATATAATATAGAGCTATATGACATGCTATAATAATATAATATAGAGCTATATGATATGCTATAATAATATAATATAGAGCTATATGACATACTATAATATAAAATAATAAGGAGCTATATGACATACTATAATATAATATGGAGCTATATGACATACTATAATATAGAGCTATATGACATACTATAATATAGAGCTATATGACATACTATAATAATATAATAATATAATATGGAGCTATAGGACATACTATAATAATATATGGAGCTATATGACATGCTATAATAATATAATATGGAGCTATATGACATGCTATAATAATATAGTATAATATGGAGCTATATGACATGCTATAATAATATAATATAATATAGAGCTATATGACATGCTATAATAATATAATATGGAGCTATATGACATGCTATAATAATATAATATAGAGCTATATGACATGCTATAATAATATAATATAGAGCTATATGACATGCTATAATAATATAATATGGAGCTATATGACATGCTATAATAATATAATATGGAGCTATATGACATACTATAATAATATAATAATATAATATGGAGCTATATGACATGCTATAATAATATAATATAATATGGAGCTATATGACATGCTATAATAATACTAGAAAAGCTACAATTTCTGGGAAATTGTGTGAAGTGTTCTTGCCTCCACCAGTAGTCTACAACTGAGTAAACAGCAACTGCTATATCATTTATATAGCACATTTAATTGCAAATCCATGTTGCACAGTTACATTAAACCATACATTTATAAAACATTAGCAGGTGTTCAAAAGGCCCTGTCTATGACATCACTTGCTGCAGCCTGACACAGGTCAGAGTATTTTGGCGGCTACATCTTCAAACGGTCGTATCTTACAAACTATAACTCCTACAGTGAAGAGCTTTATATTGTGAGAATCACAAGACCCAGACCTACATTTTGATGCATAGTATGTCTCTGAAGTATTAAAAGTGAAGGCACAGTCGCAGTTTAGAAATTGCACTTCAAATTTGAGCTTTGCAGAGTGAAGTTTCAATGAATGTCAATGGACGGCGTTGGTTGCAAGCAAATGGTCATATTGTGAAAACTATCAGGACTACGGCTTAGCCGTTGACATGTTTAGTGGCAGCAGGGATAGCTGAACGTTTTGATATAAGATTTGTGTAGGTGGGCCTGAAAATAAGGGAGTGGTGGCAGTTTAGAAATCACGTCCTGATTTTTCAGCTTTGCCAGCTCCCACTCTAGCTTTGCCATTCATTCCTATGGGACAAATTTCGCCACAAGAACGACGATATTCCGTGAACCATTCGGCGAAACGTTCCACAAAGTAATAGCAATCCGATCGGGAACAATCTGCACGTTTTGGTAAATTTTTGTCTATGTAGTGTAAAAACTGTGGAGGAGTTAGGGTGGCAAATTTTGCTATAATAATAATAATAATAATAATAATAATAATATATAGAGATAATGATATGGTCTTGCTATGCAAGAACACTTAATAATAAAATATATTTATGACATGCTATAATAATATAATATGGAGCTATATGACATGCTATAAATAATATAATATAATATGGAGCTATATGACATGCTATAATAATATAATATAATATGGAGCTATATGACATGCTATAATAATATAATAATATAATATGGAGCTATATGACATGCCATAATAATATAATAATATAATATGGAGCTATATGACATGCTATAATAATATAATATAATATAGAGCTATATGACATGCTATAATAATATAATATGGAGCTATATGACATGCTATAATAATATAATATAGAGCTATATGACATGCTATAATAATATAATATGGAGCTATAGGACATGCTATAATATAATATGGAGCTATATGACATGCTATAATAATATAATATAATATGGAGCTATATGACATGCTATAATAATATAATATAATAATATGGAGATTATATGACATGCTATAATAATATAATAATATAATATGGAGCTATATGACATGCTATAATAATATAATATGGAGCTATATGACATGCTATAATAATATTATATAATATGGAGCTATATGACATGCTATAAT